AGGGCTCTCCTCCAGAGGCGTGATGGCGGGGAGGCCCAAGCCTGTTGCATTGTGGGATGCAGTGAGGCTGGCGACAGTGTGTAGGAGGACGAGCACCAGCAGGCAGAGTTTGAGGCGGCTGTTACACAGTCTGCACGCTGCCGAGGAGCTGAGGGAGGTTCGGTGCTGGCACGGCGGGTGAGTTCTTTTCAACGTCCCCCGGGAGAGGTTGTCCACTTTCAAGTCCCACCGCACGTCGCAGCACTCTGCCTCGGGGTCCACGCCTGATGGATGATCCTCCAGCAACCCTGTCCGCCGTGCACGGGGCGGGTGGCAGAGAAACATATTCAACATTTAACCACAGCAGGCACAATGTACATATTTAAATTTTAAATAAGTCCTGCTTTTGCTCTTGGACTTTATTTTGAAGTACGCTATCTACTGCAAGGGTGGCACGGTGGCCGACTGGTGAGCGCATCCGCCTCACAGTGCAGAGGTTCAGGGTTAGGTTCCGGCTGCGGCTTTCCTGTGTGGAGTTAGCATGTTCTCCACGTGCCTGCGTGGGTTTTCTCCGGGTACTCCGGTTTCCTCCCACATTCCAAAAACATGGCAGATTAATTGAACACACTAAATCAGGGGTGTCAAATAGATGGCCCGTGGGCCCGAACCGGTCCCCAAGGAGGGTCAATCAGGCCAGCAGGATAATTTAAAAGTGAAAAAATACATAAAAGACACGGAATGAATATTTTAATAAGCTGCAATTCGTGGATCATCGGCTAGGGGGAACACTGTTTTGATCAGCGTAAAAGACAACATTGTTTTGATCAGAGAAGAAGACAACAGCAGTCTCAGCCAGAGAGGATTTCGGACCCGTCAGCAGATTTAAACAGCCACTTCATTTTGTCAAATGTTTCGTAAAAGATACGTTCATTACATTTCAACATTTTCCTAATGTTCTTGTGCTTCTTTCTACGAAAACAAAGACATGATATTTTGGTTATTTATAGCAGAGTATGGTATAATTTTAATGGTCCGGCCCACTTGACATCTACCGAGGCCGTATGCGGCCCACAATGTGAAATGAGTTTGACACCCCTGCTCTAAATTGTCCCTTTTAAGGTGTTCTTTTGGTAATGAGCAGTGTTGTGTTTGGGACAAACACACCTTTTGAAATTATAAATTCACTTAAACACACATAGGAAAATGTGTTATTGTGCCATGAAATCAGGGTAGAACTCATCTGTCTTCTGGTTTTCTATCACAAATGAATAAACGATATGTCCAACTTCAAGGAATCATCATATCGCAGCACAAACCGTTTTTTGATCTTCGGTAAAAAGTCTGTCCCTTGACAGCTCTTAATCGCTCACAATTTACAATCAATCCTCTTCAAACCTTCAGGGATTATTGCTCCGTGTCACAGCAAGAAGCCTATTGATCTTGTATCATTGACTGGTCAAACAGGATCATTCTAATCCTTGCCAAGGCGAGCATTACATTCAGGCAACAAATGGCGCTGCAAAATCGCACCGAAGTCGACGACAATCACGTTTGTCACAGCACAGTATGATTGCGAGCAACTTACATTAATTGATGAAACCATCTTTTTTTTTTTTGCACATTTCTGACAATGCATACGCACATGCACGCAAACATCCTATTGATGCAACAACAGTCTGAGCTGTGACATCTGCTTCGAGCTCATTTTCTGCCCTCGCCCGCCACCAAGGTTGTGATGCATGGAAAAGTGAAGTCCAGCTACAAAACAGTGTGTCCCTGTGAGTGAATGGGCTTTGTCCCGGTTGTTTTGGTTATAATCAGCGAAATATTGGATGGCAACAGGGTCGGACTGAACGTGTACTTCAAGTTAGAAGAGAGGAGGCACAAGAGGACACGTCATCGGCAGACAAACAACGCGGACAGAGGTGACACATATTGATATGAATGCGCTAACTCGTCACTCCTGTCCTCGCAAAGCCCGCCACAGTGGGAGATGAGAGGAACGGCTGGGCCGAAAACTCCAGCAGCGAGTGATGAGCCAATGCGCTCCCCCCGCTGGCGGCCCATTCAGGGCCCAATGAAAATGAAGCGACAACCCTGAGGAGGCGACAAACTTGGCAGGAGGTCAATGACGCCATCGCGACGGCGGGGGTTAAACATATCCTAGAGGACGCGGCGATGTCGGCAAGGTCGGGATAATCAACACCTTGTGACGCGAGAGGTAAAACATTGGGGTCAGTGGGGGCACTGGGGACAGGACTCCACAGCGCAAAGAGGGTTTGGAATCGAAATGTGGCTGGCCCACAGATACCGTGGCTCTCGGGTACTTTAAGTGTACAGCATATACAAGAGCGATATTGTATAAATTGAAACAGCTTTTAAATTATAACACTTTATTATGACTGCTTCGTTTTTCCCTATCTGTACAAGTGTGCAGAGTTGTCAATAAAACAACAATGCAGTGATACCTCGCACGGTTCATCTTCGTTGTTTCACAGATTTTTTTCATGTCGGTTTTTCTTCTGTTTTATTTCTCCCTTTTTGGAAGGTGTTAGCTTAAGCAAATATGGTATGATAGTTAAAAAAAAAAACAACTCTATGCACATGACTGTTGATTGTGAAAGTGTGTGCATTGTATTTTATATACCACAACTACATATTTCTTCAAATCATGGCCCTAAATGAATTCTATCCTCCCTTTGGAAAAACAACTGGACGTTTCAAAAGAGGCCTGTAATGGCTTCAATGTGATTCATAATATAACCTGTTGTGGTTGACGAATTGTATTTTTCTCATTATTATTACAATAACGGGGCAGATGCGGACAGGTTCCTGTGAAACTTTTCCATTTTGAGAAAAATAAAGCTGAGATTACAAAAAAAACCCAAAACAAAAACAATGATATTCGTCATTAGAGAAAACTATACCATCAGATTATGATAGATATATTTTTTAATGAGATACTTCTACTGGCTACACGAATACAGAATAAGAGGATATAAAGCATAGTGACATAAAACAGCATTTGTAAAATGTTCACAAATATCCATCTGTCACAGGAACTAATTCAGCCTTAATAGTTAGTCGAAAAACGAAGTCTCTTCTGCAACGACGACGCTGTAAAAGCCATTCAAGTCCACCAGGGGGCGACATCCATATGTCTATATTATTTACAACAAACGTGTCTGGTCCTACTCAGCCAGCACAGGGACCAAACTTCACTTTTCTCATTCATGTGTGTGTCAGTTGAGAATTGAGCAAGTTGTGACTTATTTTCAGTGTCCATGCGTTGCTTTTAATGGCAACTTTGCCCCCACCAACAGAGCCGCTACGCAGGCATATATATCGAAGAGATGGGCTGCGAAACGCGCGGGCGTACCTCGTTTTGTATTCAGATTTGTGGCTGGTGCCATGTACATCAATGCGAAGCGTGCAAAACTTGATCAATGACTCACTTCAGGATTAAAACGTCAACATCAGAAAAAAAAAACTTGGACTGTAACTGTGGACTGTAGAGCACTATGGGGAGGTGGGGTGCAGCATATCGGCCATACGGTTCTGCTAAAATACGTTCTCTTAAGGAACTTTAACTTTGGTCTGCTCAAAACTTTCCCACTTGTTTTTCTACTGTTTTATATTAAAATGCAATTGAATGCATTTTCTCCAGAGCCCAAAATATTCACATCTGTTTCTATTATTTTATTCAATGACCACTAAAATCCATTGAAATTAAAAATGTTTGCTTTGGTAGAGCAAATCATGTTTTGATTCAAATGTGATTAATCGACATTAGTTAGTTACAAAGCTTGTAATTAATTAAGATTTTTTTTTCACCGTGTAAGTCCCACTGGAGTACCTGGAGAAAACCCATGTTAGCACTGCAGCAAGGAGAGCTCGAACGGAGAGTCAAAACGAAAACTTCAGAACTGTGAGGCAGACAAGCTAATAATATTCCTCATTGCTGCTTGGAGCAACATCCCGTCATTAATAATTAACACCCCCTCATGACTGCATATTTTGTTTTTTTTTCCACTTTTCATGTGCCGCCTCACCTCAGCTCCTCTTACAATTCACTGCTCGTAATGTTCCCCCTCACCAGTCACCAGACTTCATTCAAAAAAAAAAAAAAAAAAAGGTCGCAATTTCTACTCGGAGGCTGTGAGCCAAGATTCAAATCGGGAACCCGTCGACTGTGAAGCAGTCTCGAACCGCTCTACCTTGCTGCCCTCTGGCAGTACATTTAATGAAACATCACAAGGCTTTATTAATTCCAGCAATGCCACAAAGTGACAGTATTATTCTGCAAACACCTTCTTGTTCCTTCTCCACTTTTGTTTCTGTCAGATGTGTGAGTAGTTTGACTGTATTTTAGTTTTATTTAATCTTATTATACGATGGTTAACTCTTCTTAACACTTGTATTACTGTTGGGAAATGTTACAATGCTAACAGAATAGATTTTCAAGATGGTGACAGTTGAAACTAAAAATCCTGCTCCGCCGTATAAGAAACCGATGCCGTGTATGCCTACATCGCTGCATGCTATCGTAATAAACACATTCAAGTAACAACAGATGACTTTATATTGTGAAAGTGTGGCGAACAAAAATGTCTGGGAGGTACATGATGGTCATCTGTCTTTTCAAAATGAGAATCAAGAAGCATACCTGTACATATAAAACTGGGGCTGCCTCCGTGAATGAGATCGTCATTGTCGGGCAGGACAAAGGGGCACCGCTGCTGCACCTCCAGGCAGTATTGACTACAGGGGATTCTCTTAGTGCAGTGCAACTGGGTGGTCTGGAAGTACTGAGAACACAGCCACGGCTTGTACGCCAACTACAGGTGAGGGGGAGACACAGAGACAAGACCATTGAAATTTAATTTTGACATTTTTACAAACGAGTGAGCACAAAGCTCCCCCAAGGCTTCATCCAGATTTTGTTTCATATCCAAGCTGACAAAAAGTTGCGAGATGCTATATGAGCACAAGTTCAGGCTTCCTCCCATGACATTCGGGAGATGATGAATGAGATTTCCCAATTTAGGTCAGAATCAGTAGTTTGGTTTGAAATTACAACTGCTGAATCTTCATATGCAAAGCAAATACTCTGATAACACTTTGACTGATAGCGATGATGTCTTGTCAGCAAAGTGCACAGGGATCGTCCTCGAAAAATGAATACAAATCCAAGTTCATTTATCAAAAACTATCGATGTTGCGCACAATCTACATGACCCCCGACCAAAACAGCTAATTTATTGAATTTTTTAAAATGAATATTGTTCATTGAAAAGCATAAGATAGTAACGAATCAAAAGTAAATAGAAAAAATGCAAATGAAATTATTATTAAACTATAAAATGAAATGAAATATAAAATAAAAATAAATTTGGATAACATACAAACAAAAACTTAAAAAATAAACATGTATTGTAAATATTGGGCCTGGACATTGTTTCAAAATGCACAGCCATAAGTTAAATATGATTCAGGTCCAGTCAGAAAATAAGCCAATGTTTTATTTGGATTCAACACAAAAAATATCCGTCTGCCTTCATAGATGACAACAGAAATCAGAAAACATCTCCTGCTGAGAAGCTGAAATTCCAAGGACTTGGATAATTTTTTCAATTAAAAAAGATATCCAAACAATTAATTGACTCATTAAAAGAATGATTCATTACATTGATAATCAACTTATTGCCAAATAATCTACCAATCCCTGCACCTCTAATAAATATATCTATATATTTCAAAAATACGAATATATAAAATATCCGAATACATTTTAATCTGAAGCATGAAATAAGAAAAGTCATTGAACCAACTAAGAATAACAAGTTGAACATAAAAACTTCAGTAATAAAATATTCCTTAAGAGGCAGACTAACCAGGGGTCTCTTGTTGACACCAATTCAAACAACATTACAGTTTAACAAATTATATGTAATCACAATCTGGAAACTGCGCTACATGAATGATCTTTTTTTTTCTCACCTACAATTTGGATACTGTTGTGCTATTCTTTTCCTCGCACAACAAGGTGGCAGACGCACTATGTGGTATTATTATCACCCGCGGTCATTAGCTGCTATTTCCTGTGAATCACTGCGAGGTCTGCAAGTTAAGCTAGCACCTGCTGGGAGTTAATCGGTGCGCCTAAAAGCAAAGCAGAGAGTGCAAAACCTGACGGCACGTTGAATAAATACGACAGTGTGAATGTCTTTGCTTTTGTTTGATATGGAATTGTCTCGTTGTGACAAAAAAAAGGCAAAATGTGAAAATAAGTGATTGTTGGAGACTGGACAAGTTCAGAATTGTCTATGTTGATGTTTTGAATAATTAAATTTGTTGTGTGTACATCACCCATAGAATTTATTTTGTGATTTCCACACTGGATTTTCTGTTTTGGTGCACTCTTTTGATTTTCTTCGTGCCATCGAAGGTATCCTGAATTGAAGTTTTTTCGGAGGCGGTCTTTGAACGCTTCTTAGCGGAATGAAAAAGAGAAGGCACGTTGTCGGAGAGAAAAATGTCTGTGTTTGGGAGTTTTAAAGAAGTAATAAAGTGTACGTTTAAAAACAACAACACTGGAGCTCTTTTTGTCTCGGAGCTGCAACATAATCACCGCTTAAAAAGAGTTTTTGGATCTTTCCCCAGTACTTCGCGCCTGGGTGGAGGTCTGTATAATCATTTCATGTGCTGCATGACATTTTCAATGACATCATTATGTAAATACAGCTTTCAATAAATACAGTTGGGCGTCGCTTTATGCATGACCGATCATGTCAACGTGCAGACATATTTACACGCGGGCTAAAATGCCACGTGCTGATAATAATTACGTTTGAAATCAAAAGATAAGCTTGGCTGCACAGTGCACACAAATACACACACACACACGCACACACCCACACACACACACACACACACACACACCGCCCTTCTACCTCATCTGATAGCATAGTGTGAATGTCAGAAAATGTGCTTAGAAGACCCGATGTCACGGGTGCATTAGGCTAATAGTCCTAAATGAATGTGTGAGAAAATGTGATCGTACACAGCCATCTTTTGCTCCTGAGTGACGTTTTCCATTTCATCTTGGCTGTTACCGATAAAGACTCTCAGAGCTATTTTCTACCTTACATTATAAACCTCGCTGTAAATGTGTCCAGTGGTGTTTGTTTTCACAGCGACTCAGCAAAATGCCACCTCTACCCCAACAATAACATAAAAAAGTGCACGGACGACAGTCTGACTGGCTATTTTTGCGCACGCACGTACACACACACAAATCAATGAGTGCACCTCTGTTGTTGGCGATGCTATAGGAGGCGCCCGAGGCAAACACTGTCACTCAAGACAGCAGTTCAAAAAACATGCTTGAAGTTGCCCCAAAACAGAGGAATCATGTTGGACATCACACAATGCTAATGAAGCAGAGGACAGCTTTGAAAAAGCATCTCTTCTATAGAGGGAGACTCCACAAGGGGCTGCAAATTCTGTACACCCGACCGCCGTGTGCGGCCTCACATAACGCACACGCCAGAAACCACCAGGGGTTGTCACCCATGTAACCGCACTCAACCTCAATTCAGCAACCATCAAACGAACATCTTTGCATGGTTTGACATTTTCATTGGTTTTTGCTGACTTCCATTCAAACACACGTCATCCAAAAGATGAACCATAGTAAGGCAAGACATCATGGAAGACAACCTCAGCGTACCTCATACATCTGCCAATTCAGCAGGCGTCAAACGATAACTCACCGTGTGCTTCTTGCTTTTACATTTATTTTTGGGGGGATGTTTGGTGACTTTTTTTTTTTTTTAAAGCAACACTTAACACAAAAGATGGAAAGGCATCATGCTTAACGTCAAGCAAGACAATATCAGGGTACCTCTCAGTGAACCATCATTATGAGCATTGGGATTAAGTTAAACCATACTTGTTTATTTTAACTTTTTATCTCTCAAAATAGAGGGGAGGCATCAATGACGTGAGACCACAGTGTCACGTCTTGTTTTCATTATTAAAAGGGACGTTTGCAGCGTTAATAGTGCTAGCAAGATCTGAATGTAGCCCAACTTCATTCATTACAAAACCTATTCCAAGACTGTGACACACTCACACGTGCATGACAGCAATTCTCAAAGACATTCATGGCATGAAATCATGAAGTGTGCGGTCGTGATCAGAGAATGCATATTTAGTTTCAAACAAATAATAGCACTGGCAATAGTAAGCTCGCATCAGCATTGCTGCTCACATAAGCAATGTTTGCTACATGGTTAGCATGATTTATTCATAAATGGACTGCTACCATAACACGAAATGTTAATCCGACGTCACTTTTCAATGTTCTGAGCTGCCATAGCTCAATTCTCTCAACTTTAGTTTACTAATCTTACGCCCAGCTGTTGTCAAATAACAGGTGGATATCCTGCCATGGTTTCACGAAAGTTCCTGAATCCCAAGGTAACAGTCGAGTCGGCGTGGCTGCGACCGCTATGAGCGTGCCCTCAAATACATAGAAAATAAACGTGACCCTTTTTACTTTGCCGTCGCTTTGAGCAGCTCTCCAACCATCGGTCTACAGTAGAAGCACTGAAAGGACCGCTGATCCATCATGCTACTGTCGTATCTCCAAGACGCTAATGGGGACAGCCAGTGAGAGAGATAAAAATGGCTTGGAAATCTTGTCGGGATGGAACCAAATCACTCATAACTTCTCTTCACTTGCTTCATCTTTTTTTTTTTTTTTTTTTTTACTGCTTTCTCCTCACTTTCAAAGTAAGTGAGTTTGAGGTCAGCCAACTAGCACGCTGCCATTTCTGCTGCCACACATCTTTCACACTGTCAAATGACTGCAATACACTCGTAACAACCCGCAGGTTAGTTTAACCAACAGCCCCTTTCGTCATCTATCGAGTGGATTGAAAAATACAAACTTTTGACTTCCTTCGATCATTTTGAAGCCATTGTAAAGGTCATGCACTCCAGTGAATGTTTTAAATCTAAGGCGCACGGCAAAAGAAAGGGATTAATTAAGGCCCTGCTGAGAGGCTTTTTAAAGGGAAACATTTTAAAAGCCTCATTAGTGTACACTCATTCTCTGTTAAAAAATAAATAAATAAAGAAGAACGCTGCAGTGAGTGCAGTGTGCTACTACTAATGGAATGAAGAATGGAATTACTAAGGCGTGAGTGGAGTTGATATTCATGGCAAAATGGCACAAAGAATTGACATTTATTATAAAGCTGTCTAATAGACAGCTGTTGGGGGCATAATAAGGGATTAAAAGACACGAATGTAGAATAAAGTACATGAAAGAAAAAAACTAATGTGAATGAACGTATTTTGTTTCTGTAAATTTCTTCTGTATGACATGTAAAAGAAGGGATACTTTATGTCATTGATGAGACATTGTGGGCCCATTTTCATTCTTTGGCTTTCAACTTGGCTTGTGACTGTACCTGTTTTAGGGTTATGTTGTTTTCATAATTTATTTATTTTTTTACTTTGTTTTATTGTTTTAAGTGATTTATGTTTAAGGTGTTTGATATCATGATGTATTAGTTTTTCTTGTATCTGTGTACAGCACTTTGCTCCAGCTGTGGTTATTTTTAAACTGCTGAATAAATAAAGCTGAGTTGAGAGTTGAATGACCAACTGACCGACCGACAGACCAAGTAAACCACTAACCAACAAATTCACAGAGTGTCTGGCTAACTAAAGAGCTAACGTAACAACCAAGGCATGCTAACTGACTGAATGATTGCCTACCCAAATAAACTGCTAACTAACTCACCGACAGACAGATTAACTAAAG